ACAAGGAGCACAGCCGCCTGTCGCACACCAGCTCCACCTCCTCGGACAGCGGCTCCCAGTACAGCACCTCCTCCCAGAGCACCTTCGTGGCGCACAGCAGGGTCACCAGGATGCCCCAGATGTGCAAGGCCACGTCAGGTGAGAGGGGGCCCGGTGGGGGCCGGGAGGGGGGGACCCTGCACGGGCGCGCTGGTCCCCGGTGACCTGTCGACGCATTCCAAGGGCTTCCAGGCTTTCTTAGAGTCTGCGGTGAGGAACGAGAGATCGTTGATTCTAGAAACCTAGCGTCAGACGTGTGCGACTTGAGGTTTTCGACCCCACCCCCCCTTACCCTCTTCCATTCTGTCCCGGGTTTCGCCCAGTAACGGAGACCTCGGAGGGGGTGGGGCAGGGCATCTGACCCCCTCGAGCGGGCTGGGCCAGCTCGTCCCTATTTCAGCGTCCCCTGTCGGGGTGCCAGCAACTTTTCCCGGTGAGGACGGAAATCAGAGAACTCTGGGGGAGTCGCGTCTCGGGGTTTACCCAGCAAAGGCGCCCCTTTACCACGGTGAAGAGTGCCGCTAATAAGGTAGAGACCTGGGTGACACCTTTAGAGGAACACTTGCTGCGGGCCACGGCTCGGTCTAGAAGCCCCGAGTGTGGCCCCAAGAGACGCAGTCTAGCTAAGGAAGGAGTTCGGAGCGCTGCACTCGACTTCACCTGCGACCGCATGCAGAACTCAGGTTCAGGCTTAAATTATTGTGGTGGTAAGATATAACCACAATAATTTCCGCAAAGTGCTTTTAATACTGCTACTACATCTTCAAATTTTCATGATCGAATTAAGGGTAACCTTACTCTTGTACTCAGAGTAGCAAGTAGTCTGAATCAAGTGACAGAGAACCCATGCTTTCCCTTAAGACGTTACAGCCCCTGTCCGAGGGAATCCTGGTGCTGACAACACTGGTCGAGCAGTCCCCTGGCCACTGGGCTCTGGGCAGCAGTGGTTCTGACCCGCATACGTCTGCGTCCGCCGCACTCACAAGGGGCGGGGCTGGCCGGAATGGGGCTCCGCCTCCCACCCACTGTAGGGAAGGGGTGAGGGAAGAGAGAGACATAAAAATGATTGTAAAAGTAGAAAAAGTGAGCAGCAAATGAAAAGGATTGCAAGTCAGGACCTGACTTGTGTCTGGAAAGAGTTAAGGGCGAAGACCAGGACGGAGGCTGATCCTAAAGACAAAATGGAGCCTCATCTCTGGGGAACTGAAGGAGATCCTGGGGACCTGGGGAGAGCAAAGAGGAAGGACAGGTGGCTGCTCAGGTGTGCCAGGCCACACGGCTCCCGCATTGTCCTCATGTCCCAGCTCGCTTGTTGATTACGGCACATTGGCCAAATGCAAGTTCCCGATACAATAATGAAAATGATTCAGGCTGTCCCTTTAGAAGTCCAACTTCAAGGTCCTAGAACCTTCTCCACATTCCTCCTTTATTTGTAAAATATGCCCAGTGAAGTCTGCCATCCCCTCCCCGGGAGGGTTCTGAGAGCAAAGGGATGGGTGGGTGGGTGTGTGGCGGGTGGCGGGTGGCGGGTGCCGGTTGAGGAGCGCGAGCCTCCGAGCCTGTCAGCAGCAGGGTTCCCGCAGAGGGCCGAGCACGGGTGTCCCCGGAAATCATAGCACTTGTCTAGATGTGCTTTACCTAAAGAGATTAGCCTCCGAGCCTGTCAGCAGCAGCAGCAGGGTTCCCGCAGAGGGCCGAGCACAGGTGTCCCCGGAAATCATAGCACTTGTCTGGATGTGCTTTACCTAAAGAGATAAGGTACATCTTGGAACATACTTTAAAAATTCTAAGAAGCTGTAGCTGAGATTTCCTGATTTAAAAGGTTCCGTTCCCAGGAAAGGTCAGGATGCATTTACAGGAGGATTTACTTCCTACCAGATTTTCCCAACTAGAAAAATCCTGCCCACATCTATGAGCTCCTGGTAGTCAGATGAGCTCTTAAAAGCCTGGCGCCCTTTGAATTGTCTGAGAGGGTAAGTTATGGCGGAGAGCAAGCTCTGAGAACCTTTCCGAGGCCATCTGTTCACAGCGAAGGCACAGTTTTGACACTGGGGCCACATCCGAAAGTGCCCTGAGGCATAGCTCCCTGGCGTCTGGAGAAGCAGGCCCTGCCCGGGACTCCCTCAAAGAATGTGAGAGCGTCAGGTTCTTTGCTACCATGCAGGCTGTCACCATCCCTGTGGCCACTTCCCAGGGGCAAGGCGGGCACCTGGGATCCCAGGTCAGCCTGACTCAGAAGGAAGCTGCGTGTAACTGGTCAAATGGGTGGGGGGGTGGGGGGATGTTTCGGCATTGTGACCTTGCCACAAGGTCAGATCCAGCCTCTCTGGAAAGAAGCTCCTTCACCTGACCAGAGACTGACCGCTGTCTTTTCTGTGCCACCTGCACACAGCTGCCTTACCTCAAAGCCAGAGAAGCTCAACACCATCGAGTGAAATCGGAGCGACCCCTCCAAGCAGTCCCCACCACATCCTAACCTGGCAGACTGGGTGAGTCCCTTTCAGACCTTTCATCCTCCTAAGTTCTAGAATGATCCTCGGCCTGCTTCGTCGGGAAGCGTGTAATCAGTGTGAGATCCTAGTGACAGCAGGGTTTATCAGCAGAGTGACGAGTTCCAAAGACGCCCCATGAATTGTGCTTCCTTCTACCCCTCTTCTTTCCATCGCTGTCCCTTTAGATGGGGGACTTCCCTCTGCTCTTTTAAAGTTGGCAGTGGCCCTGGGAACGTGGGCAAGGCGGCCGCCAGAAGTCCAACTGCTGCTTTGGTTAGAATTCCAGACAGGACCTGTCAGGAGAGGAGGTGGTGGCCTTTGTAAGCGCCCCTGCGCTGGGCCCCAACCCCGTGTTTTACTTGCTTCTCAGGGTGCCCCCTTAGCGAAAAAGGCAGGAGGCTCAGATCTCATCTCTGCCCTGGCCAGCCATTTGTTCTTAACACGCAAAGGGTGTCAGGTACCTTGAGACCTTTAAGAAGGGTCTCAGCAAAATGGTAAAACCAGAATTCCGCTCCTTTTATAGCTTTCAGTGTAGGCAGACGTCGTAATCTCGTGGACATGTGGGATGTTCTTATCTGCTGAAGAATCTGGCAGATGCACGTAGCCTGCTTTCCTCACAGTTCCTGCCTCTTCTGTTGTTCCTAAGACCTTGCCTCTAAGCGGATGTTCTATCGATGCCTGGTGGTTAGAGGAGGAAGAGGTGCCTTTATCCGGCTTGTTTGTTTCTGGTTTGCTGGAGCATCGGTGGGGGTGTCTGGAAAAATTTGACAGCTGTCTGTGAGTCGAATTATCAGAAAACAACAGGACCAGAATTGGCTCCATTGACTGCATTTCTGGCTCCCATGCTTAGCAGACGTTTTTTGTTTCTGCAAATTTATCTGTAGTGATATTAAACCAGGCTTTTCTGGGGGCTTAGTATTTGACAGAAGGTAGGGGAGCTGTGTTCTCAAAGGCTGGGAGCTGCTTCTAACATATATGAGATCAAATAATCCTTACTGCAACCTCGCATGGGAAGTATCAGATGTTTTAGTTTTACAGATGAGGCCGAGGGTAAGGAAGTGCCTTATCCAGTCACATGGCTGGATAGAGCTGGAATGTCAGCCCTGCCTTCTGGCCCCAGAGCCCTGTCTCTTTCCTCTAGGCCAGTGGTTCTTAAATTGCGTCCCCAGACCAGCAGCACGAGCATCACCTGGGATCTTGTAGGAAGTGTGGGTGCTCAGGCCCTCTGGGTCAGAAACTCTGTGGGTGGGGCCTGGCAGTCTGTGTTTTAACAAACCTTCCAGGGGCTCCTGATGCCCACTCAGGTTTGACAGTGTTCCTGTGTCCATTCCCTCTTCTTGGTTTGTCTTTTGGGCAGTAGCTGCCCTGTCCTTACTACTGATCATTAAAATGCTCCCTTTCACACCGGCCACACCCCGTCTCCGGCTTGTGTGGTCAGGCAGCGCTGTGAGGCCTAGGGCCCAAAAGTCTCACCAAGATTAATTCACAGAAGAATGACAGGTCTTCTGTGTCTGTCAGGTCCCTCCAGTGGCTGAAGCCCCTCACCCAAATAAGTAACTGCGGGTTCCAGGCTCTCTCTGAAACCTCCAAATTTTCTGGATCTTGCCCAGTCTCACCTGATCAAACATTTCTATTTGGCAGCAGGCTCTAAAATTTACAGGCACCCCCTCATATGCCTGCACACTTGAGATGGTCTTGAACCTGCCAGTTTCACCACATGTAGCTAGTGAGGACTCAAGACAAATTTAAAACAAAAAGATATTTTGGTCCTTGAAGTAAATTCTTATAACGGATTAAGCTGAATTACCATTAACTACCCTCTGTGATGTGGTAAGAAAATGAGAAATGGGTGAACGTGCCGAAGCCTGCCTTCCTAATCGGAGAGGTCTTCCGACTCGCTCACAGGGGTTCAAAGTTCTGCATGACTTATTTGTCACTAACACTTGGGTGTACAGTCAGCTGGTCCTTCCAGTGTGTTAATGAGCTACTGGTCCTGTCTGTGTCGGTTCCTCCCTTTAACATGACCTCTCTTCTCTTCCTCCTTCTGCTTTCCTTCGTTCAGAGACGCAACAGAACACTCGCCCATTATGGACGGGTCTGAGTCTCCAACTCACCAAAGTACTGATGAATAGAGGTATCGTAAGGGAATGTTTCGTTCTTACAGCCCTTCCCCCTCCACTGCTTATGAGTTTGTGATCTCAGATGTGCTGCGTATGTGTTGCCCTTGCCCATATTGTAATTTCCAGAAGGAAACATCTGCATGGTGTGGAAGCCATTATTTTTATGTCTGATTTCTAGGTACATGTGGAATTATATGTTTATATGTATGTTTTTACATCAGATGTTAGATATTCTTATGCTACTTCCCAGAGAAAGCCTCAGTGTGTCAGACCTTCCCACGCCCTCCGTACTTGCAGATAGTTGTAGATGCTCTGACTGGTTTAGTACTCAATGTCCGTGAAAAGAACAGCACCATGCAGTTCACATTTTAAAGCACCAAGGGCAGACTGGGTTGATCCAGAAGCACCTGAAAATCACCCATGATTTCATCCCAGCATTCTCAAGGGCCAGTCGTGGACTCCACCAAATGCTGTAGGGTCCTACTTTCCAAAATGTGGTCCATAGACAAACATCGTCGTCACCTGGGAGCCTGTTAGAAAGCTAGACTCCTGGGCCTACAGAATTTGAATCTGCATTTTAACAGGATCCCCGGTGAATTAAATGTACTGCTGTGGTGGGCACAAAACCAGTAATACCCGGTCTGGGACCTGTCCTTGGGGACCAGGAGCTAACTGGGAGATAGGATACAGATTAAGTAGCATTTCAGAGATTAAAAGGGTAAGGATATCATTCAGAAGTGGACAAAGAGTTAAAAGTTTATTTAATCAAAAAACTGAACCTCGACTATTCTAGGAACCATGCTAGAGACCAGAGTGCTAAGAGTTCAAGTTCAAATCAACAATTTGAAAATCTTATCAGGAGTCACACATGGGGTAGGAAACCTGCAGCACTTATGTATGAAGTGCTCTGAGAGTTTAAACAAAGTGCTAAAAGGAATCCGAGGGGAGAGGACTTCCGGCTGCGGGAATGTTGCGTGAGTCTGGCCTCAGGCCTGGGGGGAGGGTGGGGTTGGCTAGACAGGTCAAGGCCATGCCAAGGGCAGAAAACACAGGCACAGACACGAGCAGGGTGTCTGGGGAACGGCAGAGTGTCTCATTTTGCTGTAGAGAAAGCTAGAGTAGGGTAGGACAACATCTTGGACCAAGTAGGAGAGATGTGGGACAGTTCTTACTGCAAGTCCCGACCGGCGGATGGCAGGTTAGGAAAACAGGGGCTTTATCTTTTGAGAGGAAGATGGTGCTAAACAAAATTCGACTGCATAAAGCTGAAAGGCCTTACTGGCTTTGTTTAGTGATTCATTCATTGGGCAGCATCCCACCTCGCAGAGAGAAAGGAGCCCCGAGGAACTGCACCAAATGGAAGACTTACAGGCAGAAGCAGGGGACAAGGCAGCTATACTGGTGAGAAAGCAGGCGGTTATGGCGGGGTCACCTTCCTGCAGGGAAGGCGGGGCCCTGTCAGGCAGACGTCCTCGCTAGTGCTCATCGGGCAATTCCTGACGGACAGGCTTCTGTGTCTAGGGGACCTGAAACTAAGTCTCGGTTTGGGTATAAGCAGCTCCATTTTGGGCCTGTTGTCTTGTTTTTAACAACTGCTTCCCTTCGATCAGACTCTCAGCCTGAGAAATGTGATCAAAATGTAAGGAATCAGTGCTACTCCCATCTACTGCCCTGGAATTCTCTTAATTTCTTGCTCGCTCTCTGGTATTCACGTGTCATGACATCAGGTTTGCATCCTTTAAGTTGATTATTCCCTTCGTTCCTTTTACTGACATTCTGTTCTTGGGATCATTTGCTTGATGGTTAGTGCTGCGAACAGGTATTTAAAGCTTTTGAGAAAATACAGCGCACCAGGATACTATGATAATTACAAGCAGGATAATTTCCAATGTCTACGGTGCGCTTTGGAGCCATGGCACCCAAGACCCAAACCGATGAGAATCATATAAGTCAAAGACCCTGTAGAAGGAGTCACTTCAAGCCAAGTGGCTTGTTCAGTGATCTTATGTAGCTGAGTCTCAATTTCCCAAAGTGTCAGTTCAGGTGCAGTAAGTGGTGTTGGTCCCAGGCATCTGTGGGTCAGGACTCAAAAGGTGACAGCCACGCAGGCCAGTAAAATTTAAGGGTCTATAGCCTGCACAGCATGTTTCATTCCGGTCACCTTTGCCTTGTGTCCCTTTCTTTGTACAGAGCCAGGACACAAAGTTCCCCAGGTCCAGAGTGGTTAACCAGAGACAGGGAAGTGGGTCCCACGGGTAGAGAGTCTGACACGACGGAGAGGTGGCTGAGTCTGGCCCACAGAAAGTGAGGCATTGGGACTTGGAGAAGCTTGTGACAGGCAGAACTAGAGAATCGCCAGCATCGCGGCAAATCCAAGTCACCTGGGGGTTGCGTTGACACCCTCTGCCGTGGCCTGAGATGTGTGAACAGTGGCATGACCTTTCTAGGCCAGAGCAAGACAAAAAGGTGGACAAAAGAATCAAAGATCTTCATGGTGTAAGAATTAGGAAAAGGATGGTCAGAGAGGGAAGGAAGGAGGACCCGAAAAGAAAGGTTCTTGATCTGACCTCTTGGGAAGAAGCTGTCTGCTCTGATGTTGGCTACTTCTCTTCCTTATCAGTTTGATTGTGGGGTCTCCAGCTTTTGCAGAGGACCGGAAATCAGGTGGAGCCTTCTTCCGCTGTGAAATATGCACCCGGGGTTCGGAACCTCCTGATTTGGCAGTGGTGTCAGTGGTCAAGAGTTCTTGGTATGCACATTGCTAAAGAGAGTTTGTTGTAATGGAATTGACGGAAATTTGGTGATTTCTGTGATGTACAGCATTTTACGGTAATAACTAGAATTATGACTGATACCAGGACATACCAGATTTCTAGGAATTTCATAGATTCTAGAACACACTGATTAGAATTCTTCACCTTGGAATCCTTAATTCCTAGTTGTGAACTGTTTGTTACACTGGCATCCTGTGCACTGGCAAACTTACTTTTCATAATTTCTAGAAGAATATTCTTCACAGTAAATTTTTCAGTGTGGCACAAAATGTGTTGACTGACAGACCCAAATGTTTTTAAATGTTTCTCTGTGAAAGGGAGCCAACAGGGGATAAAACTCTGTTCAGTAATTAATGTTGCAGTTCTTTATCTAATTTGGAAGTGATCTAGATATTCAACGACTACCTGTCATTTAATTTACCTCAGTATAACTTTAAGGTTTCAAGTTATCGAAAAGTTTTGGAAACGATTTTTTAAGTAGACATACCATAAGCATAATTACTGTTGAAAAGTTCACTTATAAGCTTTTGTTATAGACATCTAATTTATTTGTTTTTAACAATTTGGCTGGCTTGTGAAAATTTCATGAGACATTAAACAGCTAATCATCTTATCTTTCTTGCTGGCAAAAGATCCTAACCTCCCAAGATCCAGAGTCCCTCCCAAAAAGATAGCTGTCCCTGGCAGAGGACGGTTGATAACCAATAGGTCTGGATGTGGGCAGGAAGGGACAATGTGAAATGTTACCTGTATCTCTTGACCAGACACAGAGCGCCAACTCTGGTAAGAATTCGCATCCTCCACTGGCTTCCGCCACTTTTCCCAGGAGCCTGTCTGCAGGCTCCAGAGGGAGTGGGGTTTAAAGTAGAGAGCAGCTCTGGTATCTACCACAACTTGGCAGGATTTTCCAGTGATTCTAATTTTAGCTTCCTCTTGGCCATGAAAGGGAATAACTGGTAGCAGTTACCGGAGGATCCCTCAGAGCCCTGTCACCCCTGGGAGGGGCCCGTATGGGCATCTGTCAGGCCACTAACCTGGCCGACTTGTTTACAGCCCCATAGTCGCGTCCGCGTGGAAAGGTGGTTCAGAGGGTTAGACTGCGAACCCGGGTAAAGGAGGACGAGGGGGCAGGCGGAGCCACGCGGGTCCTGTCTTCTGTTTTAGGTGTCTCTTGTACCTAATTTTTCAGTACCCTTTTGCAGTGAAATCTTTTAAGGAAGCTACTGGGAATGCTGAAACCTTCCGGAGGTTTCTGCATGCCAATTAAAATGGCATCCCATTCTGCCTGATTTGGGAGCCCTTGCTTTCAAGGGCACGTTTTAACGAATGCTCGTCTAATCAGAACATTCCCCATAATGGTTGTCATCTATATAAAGAGGTAATCTGAGGCACGCTCAAATTAACAGAAATTGAGTTTATTTGCGAATAGAAGAACAATTGCAGTTCTGGAAATGCACGCTATAGCGAGCTACATGCGAGCCCTTTGAGGATTTGGGGCAGGCTGTAGTTACGGGGAGGGAGTGAAAATGAGGGGGACGTCCAGCCAGAGTCCAAGCAGTAAGTTCATTAGCTTGAGGATGGAGAGATTAGATTCTTGGTAGACGCTCACTGGTCTGGAGATAAGTCTCAGTGGTCTGGTAATCAGCATTTACGGGAAACTGGTCTCAGTTCTAAGTTCTGTTCTTCTGAGAGCGCATGTGTGATTCTCTATTTCACAGCCTCCGGTTCCATTCTAGACTGAAATCCTTTCACATTTCCTCTCTTGATCAAGACCTTTTGCAGAAAACATCACTAACGAACCATGTCATTTAGGCGTTGTTTTCCTCCTTCCTTTTGATTTTTTTTTTTCTTGATCAAAGACGTTGTTAGATGGACTACATGTCCCTCAGAGCAGAGAAGGACCATCCTCAGGTGTCTCGTCTCATGGAGGAGGGAAATGGCAAGAGGATTTCATTAGCCTTATTTGAAAAACGAGAAATGTCAACAGCCAGACTGCACATTTGGATCAGGGAACAAGGCAGTCCAGACACGGCATGAATGGACTTGGTGGTTAGACTGGCTGGTGTCCTCTGCTGATTTGAGAAGAGCTGTAAATTCCTGTAAGATTGGGTTAGGTTTCCTGTATGAGCCTGTCTTCACCGTCTCCATTTTGTCCCTAACATAAGTGACTCCATTTCTGTGTTGTTCCACAGTTTTTTGATCAAGTCCCTATGAGAGGGTGCTGAAACCCAGTGTGTTTCTTCTGCATGGACTTCATCCATTCTGTCTGTCTTTAACCATGCTATGATTGGACATCTTTCTTCAGGGTGAGGAAAGATTTTGAGGTTAGGAGCAACTATAAGGCCACATTTGAGCAACTTCTTATAATGGGTCAAAGTGGAGGATCAAGGCAGGGAGACTGTGTCAACTGTACAGGTGTTACTGATGCTTGCAGTGTTGTGAGGTATCTGTGGGTTTATTTTTACCAAGCCTCAGTAGACAACAATTGAGTACTTTAAAAATCACAAGAAAATAACAAAAAGGCTGGAAAGACCAATTTATAGTACAGATCTAATCCATAAACCCAGTCCTGTAGGTAACCAGCTGAATAAATCAAAATTCCAAGATGTCAGAAAGGACTTATTGTACCCAATGAGCTTGTTGTTGGATTTGATGTAACTGACCCTTAACTTTCCCAGAGTGTTAGTCCAAGTACAACAAGCGGTGCTGACGACAGACGCCGCCTTGTTCAGCTGCGGGATAATCGAGGGCTAGCCTACCGTCCAGGACAGCTTCAGCGAGTGAGTCCGGGGGTCCGTGCTGGGCAGCTGTGACCTTCGCAGTACAGTCGGCAGTGTTTCCAAGGGGTAAAGAGGTGTCTGATCGCAGCCTCCTCCGTTCTCACTCCTAACGAGAGAAGGTGGGATCTGTCAAACGAAGGGAATCCAGAACGCCTCCTGGTGAGTCCTCTTGAACCTGACAAGGGAACTGCAGGGGAGCTGACTAGTGAGGCGTCTCTGCTTGGTTGTGGACAGTTAGGACAGTTCATAACTGCAGAGGCACTGCCTGGTTCTGCGCCAGCCACTGGGGCATTCATAGGCCCAAGGAGTATGACCACCACCACAGAGATAACTCCTGTCAGGGCACAAACCACTCCTGCTGAGGTGACACTGCTGATGGATTTTCATGGATTGTTGCATCTGCCCATTCAAACCAGGGTTAAGTTAGGTTTCTGGTGCAGTGGGAAGTAAATCTAAATTCCTTGCAAAGGCAGATGACTGGTGAGATTTTTTTTCATGATCAGGGCAGATCTGATTTAGATAATCAGAACATAGGGGTGCAGGTATACTATGGTTTGCATGGGTATTTGTGTCTAACCGATTAGAGAAAGGAAAAAAAGCACTGGGAAGCCTGGCTGCAAAAATTTAAGTTTGTAGCTGACATCAAAGGGAATCTATTGTTTATGGTGGCATCAGGAGGGAAAACTACTTACAGGAAGGACCAAGGGTCTCCAACATCATGGGAGATACAGAGCTCTAGATGGTGAATCCAGCAGCCTGAAATACAGTCCGACAACTAGCTTCTGGGAGATCTTGAGTTTGAGACCACCGGTGGCACTGCTGGTCCGTTCAGGTCTGTGACCCCAGGGTCAGATGCCTTCAGGTTTAGCTAGACGGCAACTGGAGAGCAGTACCAAGAAAAGTCCTTTCTAACAACGGAGTCCTTTAGTTGTGTTTTCCAGTGACATATTCTACAGAAGTAGGTCATAAGGAGATCAGACGTCAGGTTGTATTCTTGTTCAGCATTGACTTAACTTGTGAGAGATGTTTCTGGAAATAGAGAATAGCAATATTTTAGTAGGCCCCACTGGGCAATTTGATGGTCAGAGTGTGGGGGAATTAAGCAGACACGTGGGTCTGCTGGTTACCTATTTTGTAAGGCGTGAGCTTATGTTTTGCAAAAGGTAAAGGACCTTGGTTTCTCTAGACCGGTGACACCACCTTGGTCCAGGGAACTTCCAAAGTCTCATAAAACTTTCGTAATTGGGTTTTAATGATGCCATGTTAGTCCTGAAGGTTGAGGCTGGTAGGGGCAGTGCAGTCTCTGTAGCATAGGAAGGACTCTGCAGAGTCCCTGGATTGCCTGGCCAGTAGAATGAGTTCTGAGGTCTCTGCAAAACAATGGGGTCTCCCCATCTAAGGATGATGGTTTCAGGTAATTTCTTTACAAAAAGGCAGTTGCTTATCAATAGGATAAAGCTTCTCTACCCAGTAAGAAACATACGGACCATGACCAATTCATAACGCTTGTTCTTAACAACTGTTTACACATGAAAATTCCTCGATATTGAACCAAATCTTATCTTCCTTGCTGACGAATTTTGTAACAGATAACGTGAACTTATTTGACTAGTAAACCCAGGTAGAATAAAAGTCGTATATCTACATTACCAATTAATTTTGGCAATACCACCTGGAAGTAGAAAAATATTACACCTCACAATGTGCACAAATACGCAGATGCAGAGATGTTTTCACTTTAAAATATTAGACTTGAGAATGGTACCAACGCACAAATCACTAGTTTATAAAAGAACAGTTGGATCCAAATCGCAACCTTTAATTACGCACAAATTCTCTTGAGGTTGGCCGGTGACCTAGTGTCAATCCAGCCTGTTTCGTGACCCACTTATCCCAGGGTGGGAGTCTTCAAGTTACCTGGCGTGCACACAAACAGCTTTTCAGTGCTCAACCTGTACCCAGCAATTTTGCAGCTTTGGCTGCCGGGATGCCCATTAACAAGAGACTCACTATTCTTTTACGTCATCGTGGGCACACTAAAAAGCTGTAGAAGGCCTGAGGGACGCACCTCCAGCGGTTCCCAAAGTGAAACCGTAGGCTGAACCAGCAGACAGCAACAAATGGGGACCGTGGACTAGCCAAGGGCTAGTGCCTCGGGGGTTATAGGCGGAACCGTCTGCCAGCTCAAGGGACCAGCCAAGCCCTGGACCATGGACTAACCAAGGGCTAAGGATAGGTACTCTGCTGGCACCTCCCTCTCAGTCTAGACTGACCGTTAACCCTGGACTGGAAAGCCAGTTAGACTGATAGTTCAGCACAGAGAAGAGCCCGGAGCCACTGAGCAGCTTACCCATGGCCTCGGAAATGGCGAGAAAGGGACCTCGGAGGGTTCATAAGTACCAGAGCCTGTGTTTCTTGTTGTCCATGAAGCTGTGAGCTATCTCCTTTGGGTTCCATCACTGCCACCAAACTGTTAAAAAAACAAAATTCAGCTGAGTAAATTTTCAAGATCATTTTGGCTTTAGTCTTTTAAGTTGCAACCTAATTCCTTGAGGAATTTAAAACTGTACTTGTCTTACAAATCTAGTCTTTATGAGAACAGAAATGCAGCACTCAAAGCCCACGTGTCCTTTTTATCAATCCCCAAATCTCCTCTGTTCATCTCAAAAGACTTGCAGATATTGTAAAAGATCTGGATTTAGGAAACCAAAGTCCTTCTTGGGGAAACTTGCATTCTTTCCCTGTGCATCTGAGAGAGAACTGTTCTACCCGCTCTCTCCAGGAACTCTTATGGGGGTGTCTCTTTGAAATGCAAACTTTAGGGAGGTAATTCCTATCAGAAGGAAAAAAAGAGGGAGGGTGGGTGGAGTCTATCTGGAACTAAGGCAAATGAAAAATCGTGTCTTCTCCACAAATATTAATAAAAAGGTTTAGCCATCTGAGCAGGTAACCTTAATGTACTCCAACTTCCAGAAGCATGATTTTTATCCAACTGTTCTTCTATAAACTAGTGAGTTATGCATTATCTATTGAGCTGTCTAAAGCTGCTTGGCCCTGCCTGGGCATGTGCCCCTTTTTAAACCAGTGACTGTGGCCAGAGGACTCAGGTCCACCTGCATCACTTTTCCTCCCTTGGCAAGGGGAGGGGGTGACATGCTGGTAGAGAACACCACTCAGACCACATGGCATTACCGAGAGACTCTACCAGGGTGTCACCCCCACCCTGGCCCCCAAGAGACAGCATCTGTCCATAGCGGGGTCCAAGCACCTTTTGCCATTGTGCCTAAGGGACTGAGAAGCTTCGTGACAAAAAGTTTTGTCAGGGCAGAGAGGGAGTGTGCAGGGTGGGTGTAATGGAGTCAGCCATTTACCACCTAAATACAGCAACGTATAGTCATGGCCAGTACATAACCAAGGGACTTCACGTTACTTTGCTTCCGAAGCCACACTTACGCATTAACCCTGGTATACTTCAGGGGTCCAGGCACGGCACTCTCAATAAAGCCCACAGCATGTTCACACCCTGGGATTTTCCAACTTTCATGGTATTTTTTAAAACCAGATGAGAAACATTTACAAAATCCAGAATGTCTTCATCCATTTGTTCCTAGACATACCCCCAAATCAGACAGACAAGTGGGGTTGACTGATCATTAATCATAAGCTAGTTCATGAGGCTGTGTTTAAGATGCTTTTTCAACTCACTTTTCTTTGAAACACGTTGGATTAGGGCCTTTTCCTGTCACCCATCCCCAGCATAACCCCCACACTACGTATGGGGAGACCAGGAGCAGGGGAGAAAAGCTGACATTTACAGAAAGTCTTTATGGTGTTTCCAACTAGATCTTTCTGCCCCAATTGGCAGGTGCTCTAGGGACGTCAAAGTTGAAAGTCCAGCCTTTAACAACACACAGACCTACTAACTCAGTCACAGACCAATGTCATTCACAGGAACATTACTTCAAACGCTGAAGCTTACAGTAAAAGGCCTAGAGGCTTTGTCCCCTTAGGAATCAGCACAAATGAACAGCATGAATGAAATAACCCAAGTAAGAGCTGAAAAAACAACGAGACAAAAGGCCCTCCAGGCCAGCGCCAGGGGCTGGGTGAGAGCAACAGCATGGAGTCCACCCCCGCGGGCCGCAGCCAGCCTCTGGGCACCTACTGGGCAAATTCCAACCCATCCCTGTTTTCACCTTTATCTTGCCCTTACACAGCTAGTTTAGGATCCCGAGAGATAGGCTGTTTTCCTAAAAATGACATCCCGAGGATGATTATTGGTTTCAACATAAGTATGTGTGCGAACCCTTCTTGATATATAAAAATTACTTCTACTCAACCTACACGGTGATGTCTACCCAATTTTTAAAGTTTTTTTCTATATGCTTTCCTATGTATTTTCAGTAAACCTTTTATTATTACAAACATGTTATTTACCTTAAACAGTCAGCATTAATTCAAAAGTTTTTAAAACTAAACTCAAAATATCACCTCAGTCTCACTGTAGGGGAAACCTGACATTTCCAATGTGCTTTTAGGACAGAATAAAAATCTACTCATGAAATCTGGTTACTCCCGAGTCTCACGGAAGAGAACCCAAAGCAGCGGTTCCGTGGTAAAAGAATCCTGAGCAATCCAGCCCAAGGGGTTTCTTGGCCTTGGCTGCCCGAGAGAATCACTTGGAGAGGCTTTGAGAGCTCGTGTTGCTCAAGCACACCCCAGACCAACTAAGGCAGTGTCTCTGGGTGGGGCCCAGACATGAGTACTTTTGAGATTTCCAGGTGATTCCAGCAGGCAGCCAAGCTTGAGAACCGCTACGCAGGTAGGCGTTAGTTCCATTCCACTCCTTCGCCAATGTTCAAGGTTCAGGTTCCCTCTAAGTGGGTTTTCTTCAGTCTGCGGGAGCCTTCTACACACTCAGCACCGCATGAGGCCTAGTTCCTCGTGGACAGGGAAGACGCCGATCAGCACCGGGCCCTGTGCAAGCACAGCACGGCATGCTCGCAGGACGGGCTGGTAAATACCATTCCCCACTAACCGTCCCCTCTCCTTGAATTCCCTGCAGGAGCTACAGCGATAGCTGTTTCCTGGATTCCTCCCTCTATCCAGAACTAGCTGACGTCCAGTGGTACGGGCAGGAAAAGGCCAAGCCCGGGACCCTTGTGTGAGCCAGCCGGCCTCAATCTGACCGTCTCAACGCCATTCTGAGATCACCTCACTGCCTCTCATTTGCCTTACCCAGACGCACTGTCACCCTGCACCAGCTTCGGCCCTCAGCACTTTTTTTCTCCTGTCTCCGCATCCCCTCACCCTCAAAAACCTGACTGAGGAGACATTCTGGAAGGTTCCGGTCCCACTGTGTGTCCCCTGGCTCTCTTGCCCACAGAGAGCCAGGCAGCAATCCTCAATGGCACCCTGGTGGCTTCCCCCTGCCGTGACAGCCCCCAAGCCAGGAACCGACGGGGAAGCTGGCTGGCATCAAATTCCTATGGACAAGTGGCATGGGTAGAGAACAGGAAAGGGGATTCAAGTACAGGGTGATCCAGAAAGACTATTGAGCTGTGGCAGCCTGCCGCCTGGAGGCCAACCAAGCACTTCGAGCAAACGAGCAAACGATGCCTGCGGTGGGGATGTTCACGTGACACCTGAAACATTCTTTGGGGGAGTGGCTTTTGGGGGAGGGGGAGAATGAAAAAGGAAGCTTAACCTGTCAGATTCATCAGAGGATCACAATCAGTTCTATGCTGCCAAAGATTTAAAAAATTAAAAAAATAAAAACAAAAAATAAGAGGGGCCAAGAGGAAGACATTCTTTCTGCAATTAAATCTCAAATTCTAAACTGCTACAACACAGCACAAGTGAAAGTCAACCGTCTGTAAATTGTTTCCCCTGTTCTTCCCTCTCCTGTTCTGCCCTCTCCCTGAGTGGCGAGCCTGAAAACTAACCTGGAGCGATGTCCTGTGGCGAGCCTCGGCTGGCACGGCTGACTCGGATCTCCGGAGTCTGGACGTGAAGCAGACGGACCTGTGGGGAGTAGCAGAGTGTTCTATCGGCCCTGGTCTGTACGGGGATTCAGCTCAAGTCCAAGACACAAAGCTGCTCTCCTCTTGGGATTTGTAGGAACATAAGGTGATGATTGCCAAAAGTGGTTCTCTCTCATTAAAACAACCAGTAAATGTGTATCCTATTTTTTTGCACAAAGTGTTTTGTTTTTGATGGGAAACCAAGGGAAAAGCACACTGCGATCCATTCAAAGTGTTTCACTGTTGTGGCTCATTTTATGTTTGTTAGCACTTGTGTGACAAAGAGCTCAGATCCGATTTTGGTTACCAGTGTGTCACTTATTCAAAAAACCCAATTATGCCCATAGGTAGAAAGATTTTACTCAACGTGTCTACTAAGCAGAGCAGGGTTGAAAAAAATATCAGCTCCCAGGGGGCCCACATGCCTACAGCAGCAGCAGCCACCTTGACGTACCGTCTGTCTGCAGGTACCAAAAGAAGAAAGAGGAACAAAAAAAGGTGTGGGAGCTGCATGTTTACACGTGTTTTTGAGCTATGCTTAATACACAACTGGAAAGCCATCAATCTTCAGAGGCCTCAAAACTACTTTTATAATAATAACAAGTGCAAACTCTTAGTTGGGTCGTTCAAAATGGCACAAACACGGTCTCCACAGAGGTGGTATGCTGTGCTTATTGGGGGATATTTTTTTCTCACTCATAATGACTTCCTATTGGAAAGGCATTTGACAGCCAAGAGACAGGAGCTGGGGTGGGGGTAGTTTTGTGGGAAAGCAGAACTGAAGTTAGCTTTAGTGTAAAAAGAAAAACCTTTGTTCTCTATGTGTGTGTAATCTAAGAGGAACAACAGCCTCCACGAGACCAGGAGGGTGAGAATGGACAGTCACGAAACCACTAACCGTGGGGCGTCCTCCGCTGCGGCTGGAGAGGGCGGGGACTCACAGCGCCCGGGCACTTGTGGATGATCTGCAGCCTGGTCTCACGGCTCTGCGCGGCCGGGCTGGCGATGCCGCCTTGTGGAAGGGATTAATATTCACAGAACACTTTAGGGGTAAACCCTGCAGGATAAACACAACTGGTTATAATGTTACTAAATGATTCTGGGGGTTGGCGGGGGCAGGGGGTGGGAGGGGTTCTTGCTCTCATTTTGATGGTCAGAGCTACAAACAGCAGTTCTTTTTCCTTCCCTGTTCAGAAACATCATACATTGGACCATTTTTCTCTCAAAAGAAGATATGGGGATAATCAAACTGAACTAAGTGCAACAGGAAAAAGTCAAAGGGAAATAGAGAAGGCGACAAGGTTACATAAACAAGTACAGTAGTCTGAAGTCACGTGTGAAGTCAGTCGGATCAAGCTTTTAGCCCATTTTGGTCACAAGGAATGAGAGATGAAAACTAAATGCTTGGGTTCTGGATTCAGGGGGCAGAAAGGAATGGAGTGGGAGGGGGACTACACTTCAGACAAACATCGCGATAGTCTGGTAGTAAAGACGGAGATTAAGTAAAACAGGTTTTACTGTTTAGCTGCGTTCAGTTACTACAAAGTGTACATAAATTATTAGTCCTTTGAGACTGACATGATTAATGAATGATCGACGTGGTGGGAAACGATATAGTTATTGTATACAGGCACTTGCAAGCTCTTTAGAGATCCCTATTTCTTTAAAACAAAACAAGATGCACCATGAAGCCCCTGGTCTACTAGAAAGCCCCTACTGGATTCTGTGGATATGTGTAAGAAATCGCCTGTTCAGCCAGCACACTGGTGAAAACGCCCACATCAGACTTTGTTGTGAGGCAGGTGGATTTATTTTATTATATAGAGGTGAATGTTGGAACTGTTAAAATTCTGATTTGTTTTCATTATTAGTTTAGTTCTAAATATAGCAAACCCCATCCAGGTGCTATCAGATGACCAGTTACTGCTTAGTTAACTAGGTGTAAAGTTTTTCATACACATTAATGTCAATAGTTTATTACAACTTGTGTAAAACGGACTCTAGTTTAATAATGGGGAAAAAAGGATTAGGTTGCTCCTGAAACTGTAGAGCATGTAAAATGATTTTAATGGATTCTGTTCAACTGTAATCAATGAAAAAGAGGTATGTTGTAGACAAAATTGCAGAATTAAAAAGAAATCTGCTTTTAATTTATTCTTTTTGTATTAAGAATTTGTATAGTACCTTTAAATTTTGCAAAACAGTGTTGTCAACACTTATTAAAGCATTTTCAAAATGAAAACATCTCAGTTGCCTCTTGGAGATTTTATTTTAAATGATAAATGCTTGCGCATGCCCTGGAAATCTGTAATTTGGGTGCCTGTGTCCTCGCTGGGCTCCTTTTCAAAGTCAAGCTACAGATGCTATTCTCATTGGCTTGCTAGATGACGTAGACAAGCTTGGTTCATTCAGTCGAGCCTAATTCTTCTTATTCTAATTTCCTTTTATTACTTATACAAAAATAATATATTCTCAATTTTGTTATTTCTCCTACTCCAAAAAAGGATTTGCGATGAGAGGTCAGTCTCTGTTGGGATGCTATTTTAGTACCTGTTATCACAGCTGCTCATTACAATAGTTACCCACGTGTGGCATGTGCCAGGCATAGGGACCATTCCCACAGAAGAAACACGGGATGTGGGCTCTTGGTGTCAGCCTTAGTGTCTCCACATGGCCTCTGGTTCTGTGTAGGAGGCAGAAGTCCAACCAGGGAGACAGGCAAGACACTCAGGCTCTTCAGCACCACTGCTGTTCACCTCTGCTCACACCACAGCTCAAACTGTCACCCATCTCCACATCCTATCACCAAAACAACAGCCTACTGGGCCTGCAGGTAAAAAGAGCCCCGCATTTATGGGCAAAATAGTAACCAGCTGACTTTAGTAGAAACTTTACAGCAGTTGAACCCCCGATCCCCTAACCTAACCCGGCATGCATCGCTTCTCTAGCAGGAAACCAGAGGTCTGGCAGCCAAGACCATCCCGGGGTGGAAAGCCCTCCCTGGATGGAAGCCCTGGCTGAGGTATTTGCCACTAGAGCAGGCTGACTAACCCCTGCCAAAAATGAGAGCAACCCACTGAGAACGTGAAGCATGCCTGGAAGGGGGCCCGTTAAGACAGCACTTCATAGTTCCTAAGCCTCTCCTGGGGAGAGCAACCGGGGGCCTCTGTATCTACGCTAATTTCAAACAAACAGGGATCTTCTAAAAGTCTTTTATATGTAAGTACGTGACAACTCAGGAAACTAGTATCTTCCCTTTGAGCTCTATCATCACAAGAAAGCAAGTGGCACACAGGCAGATGGGACTTTTTCCGTTTTTTTCCGCTCCTTCCTACCTTTCACCACATATACTCTCCCCCCGGCCCCCACCCACAGTGCCGACAAGGCAATGCCAAAGTTATTATTTTGGTCAACAGAGAAAGCATGAGAAATAGCCAGGATTTTTCCTTCCTCTTCTCCCAGAATACCAGTTCAAAAAAGCTCATACATAAAATTCTCTCTAAAAAGGGGGGTGTCAGAAAACCACTGATGAGCAAGCAGGCGGCAGGCCACCGTGAAGTCATTCACTGCACGTTCTGTGCTGAGTCCAGGTCTTCAGAAGCTTACACTCTCGTGGATCAGACAGACAGGCAACCACAACAAAAGGGGAACGTCAGGTTGCCGACATTAAACAGAGATTAAAATGGGTCCCAGAGATAAGAGATCAACAAGTGTGCAAACAGGATCTCTCACTGATCCCTCATACAAGGAGGTCACTGGTCAGAGATGGCAGAGGAAAGGCAAAAGGACCTGCAGAAGCCTTGTACAAAGCCAGAAGGGCCTGGACTGCAATTCAGGAGTATAAACATTTATTGATACGGCCCATACATTCACAGTTGCATCAAGATTTTTTTTTTTATCAGAAACCCTTCACTTCATAAATTTTTAACCATTTTCTATAAAATCTTCATCCATTTTCTATCAAACTCACTCCACTCATGCTTTCCTTCCCCCCACTCTACCAAAACCACTCGTCAAGGTCAAGGATGACTCCCGCAATACCAAACCCAATGAGTAACTCTGCTACTTACCGGCGATGCTGACCACAGTCAATCCCTCCAGCTCCCTTCGCTGTGACACCTTCACTGGGATCCCAGGTTTTCCTCCTTACCACGGTACAGGGCTCTTCTTTCCAAAGCCCTTGGCAGTTATCCTCTGTCGCCTGACTTCTTGGGCTGCTTCTCTTCATTATCCACAATCACTCTTCTCGTAGATCTCGTCTTGTCTCATGGTTTGAAAGGTCATCTCTATGCTGATGGCATCTGTACTTATCCCCACACCCTGGACCTCCTCTCTAAACTTGTATATCCCACTGCCTACTCAGCATCTCCACACGGGTGTCTGACAGGCTTAACACATCCAGAACCGAACTTCTGACCTTCCCCTCCAAACCTGATCCATTAACCATCTTCCCCAGCTCAGTTACAGGCAACTGTAGTCTTTCAGTGCTCAAGCCGAAAACCTCAGACTCATCCATGATTGCTCTCTCTCACGCCTCACATCTGCAGCAAAACAAATGTAAAATCCCTGCACTTAAGAGATTTCTATTGTATTTGGGGGTAGAAAAAGGAAGGAAAAAAAAAGTAAATTATATAAGATAGTAGAAAGTGGTAAGAAATCAGGGATGGTGGAAGATTTAGTCTCTGAGAAAAAGAAACATCTCTTCCTCCAAGTCAGGTAAGAAAAACTGCTGGAAGGTGGAGAGGTGGACGGAGACCTTAAGCTCGCCCTATATTCACCCTGGTGTGAGAAAAGGTAAGTGAAGTCAGCCTCTCTTGAGAGGGGAGCAAGGTAGGGTCAGGATGGAACATGGTCACAAGGATTAGAATATAAAATAGCCCAAGAGGAAAGGAAAGTGGAGAATGTCCTCCAGGCTTCACTTAGGGACCAGATGACACGGTGGCTGCAATTCCCTCCTGGCGTTTACTAGCCAGGGCATGGGAACGAGCGGATGGGGTGATCCAGGCTTCGGTTTTACGCTGTGGCATGACAAAAGGCTAGAAGAGTAAGACAGCAGAAGGTTCTGGTGAAGAGGGACTGAAATGACAATGGAGCTGGAGGACTAGAGAGAAGAATAAAGCCAGGAAGGTGCTGATAAAGCAGAAAACAGAGGAATAAACAGGATGCCTTGAAGAGGCCGAGGAAGAGCAGAGTGGGAGCGAGGATAGGACTTCATGACTAGACAATACTCATTTCCCCGTAATTCCGTGTAGG